GGGCTGCAAGTGGTCAGATATAAACTATATTAATATTGACTGTCTGTGTTGTTCTTAAGCTTGTTTTGAAACATGGATCCTGACCCACAAGCTTCAAGGTAGAACACCAGCTGAGGGAGAAAACATAATACCACAGCTGCTGTCAGATATTTCAAGCTGTTAATCTTATTTTGTACAAGCATTCACAACATTTCCATCATGTTGTGTGGATCAGAGTAGATGCATTTACAAACTAATCTCTCATCTCTGAGGCAGTGTTCTGAAGGTGTTACGGAGGAAAAATTAGCGTTTTCATTTAAACTGAGATAGCGTGAATATTATGCGCGCTACCCCTTTAAAAGCATACATTTTCCTAAAGCTTAATAAACACTTTGAGAGTAAAGGTAAAGTCAGACTGGCACAGACTCCCCATATGGTCTTTGTGGTCGCGTCGCATTTTCGCCTTCAGATTTCATTTTTGCTCTCACAAGTGTCACGTAACGGATTTTATCTTTATTTTCATGAGAACATGTGTCACGGAAAAATAGTCTGCATTTGCTCACGTCAGCAGCGTACACCCATGGGCAAATGGAGGACGCTAAATTTACCAATCAGAGCGCGCGCTTTACTTTGGTTATGTTATAATTATAGTTCCATCGGGATTTCTCGCTGTCACGGTGTCCAGAAATGCGATGGATCCGTCTTTTTCTTCCTCCACTGTAAATCTGATGTGTTGATTAACTGACTTAAGGTGGGAGTGGAACTCTGTAAGATGTTCACTAACAATGCAGAGATGCCTATCGTCAACATATCTATACTACCACTTAGGAGGGTGGGGTGCGGTTACTAAAGCTCTCTCTCCGACGTGTTCCAGAGCCAAATTTGCCAAAATTGCGCTCACAAGTGAGCCCATTGGGCAGCCATATATGTGTTTGTAGAAAGTGCCATCAAAGATGAAGTAGTTGTTAGCGATTTTTGTCTCTTGATTATTTTCTCCAGTTCTTGAGAACTTAATGATCAGACTCCACCTTTAGTTGTCCAAAACATTAGTTATTGTCGCTGAAAATGTTCTTAGAAATTCAGGCTTACTCACACTCTGAATAACCGTTCAATTGATAATTTTCAAATTGTCTACTTAAATTTAACGCTAGATAGCAAATAATTCAGAAAAAAATGGATTATGGCTATGTTTTTACCTGTTGCTGACGCCACTCCAAAACATGCAATGCTTCTCTCCGTCATCGACCTAAAAATATATTTTATTTCTTTTGAATCAACCCAGCAAAACAAGGACGGACTGAACTAAACATTCAGCGTTCTTGCTGTTACCTCCAGGTTTTTGAATTTCAAGATGACATCCTGTTGTAATTTTTCAGGTTTAGGATCCATAGCTGCAGTCATTATCCTGGTGTTCACATACCTGTAAAGAAAATTGTGTTCCAAGAATCACTCAGATTATTTATTAGCTATATGCGCTCATCGGATTTTGAATGAACTTTGGAAAATGACACACTGACTATGAAACAGTTTTGAGATTATCCTAACCGTAAATATTACCTTGAATTGTCATTTTCATTCCCGATGAGTTGATTTGTCTGGAGTAATTCATGAAGTTCTTTGTAGACGCACCCTATTACCACTGATCCTGATGAGTAAAGGAAGAAAAAAAACAAACAAGGAGAAAAACTTCTCAGATTAGATAGCGTTATTCAAATTGTGAAACATTGAACCCCCCAAAAAAGGAAAGGTTACGCTGGTCAATAAACCACTCTTAGAAGTTATGAAAGGCAAATTAAAGGCAAAGAAGGATAACTTTAAAGGTAAAACAAACCATTTTCCGCGAAATTTACAGAGGAAATATTAATGCTGGCTTGCCATTCTTTCTCCTCGAGAGCGAAGTCGGTCGAATTTTGGCGGTAACCTTTCTGAATACTCAAAACTGTCGGAAGAAGGAGAAAAATAGTTCGCGATTACTTGGATTTAGAAAATTAAAGGAACATAATGCAAGCAGTTGCGTTTCTCAATAAACTTGAATGTGTACATTATCATTGTGTTTTAAGAACTAGTAATTAATACCCCACAATACACCAGCAAAACATGTTTTAGTTAAACTAAATGAAAATTAGAAACTGAGAACTGAAAACCTAAATTTTCCATAGGATTCGAGTAATCGCTAACTTGCGACCGTGTTTAACAAAACAACTTTATAAAAAAAAACACATCCGATTAGGCTTTGGTGTAAACGAGGCATGAAAACAAAACAAACTGTGCCACAGAAACTAATCAAATATAGGAAAGATCATTTATTTAAATTTCTCTAAATATTCAACTTGCGGAAATAAAACCGATATGTTAACACTTTTTAAAATTAGGTTTCTAACGCTATTCGTAGATCAAAGAACGATGATAGATTTCTACCCCCTTACGCTCCTTAAAAGTCATATGTACTAGTAAGACTCAGGTAGCAGTGAAACCATTCGTTCAGTGAATATATTGGTGATTGGCAAATTGTAATGAACCTTAATGAAGGTCGTATTTTAACCTACCCATATTCTGGCGTATGATCTTTTTTGAAGGCTCCGTTCCACTCAGATGGTATTTACCGTAATTAAGAGCAAATTCCTCGAAGGCAACGGCCACTCTAAAGACGGATTCTCTTATTGTTTTAATCTCTCCTATACCGAGTTCGTCTTTACTGGATTCCGAAATGTTCATATACTTATCAGTGAAGTCTTCAAACAAAGTTATCGCCTCCTGCAAAAGAATACTCTTCATCAACATTACATAGAATTCAAGTGTATTAGCTTCCAAAAGAGTAAAAAAAAAGGGGAAAAATTGTGTAAAAGATTACATTCCCTCAAGTTCTCTCTCTAGAAAAAAAATATATATTATCACCACAAGAAGCTGAGGCCGGCGTCACGGTCAGTGGACTCGGGCGAAAACAGGCTAGTATTATGAGGATCGTTTCGTCGCTCAGCTTAGTCACCTTCCGGTTTTTTTTTTTTTTCTAAGCTACTCCCCTATTGAGAGAATGTCATTTAACAGGTCTCTGTGTCCTTTTACCTGGAACAAGCTACTCCTCTATTAAGAGAATGTCGTTTAACAGGTCTCTGTGTCTTTTTACCTGGAACAAGCTACTCCTCTATTAAGAGAATGTCATTTAACAGGTTTCTGTGTCTTTTTCATTTAGAAGTAACTCCCCCTGTATTTTCAAGCCTAATTCTCTAGCTCTAGGGCCTGATTTGTTTCTTCGTGTTAGCGATTAATCTTAATAGCAATAGTCCCATAGCAACAGAATGTCCTAATTAGAAGGTGCAAAAGTCATTAATTAATTCAATACCTGCATGGAGCTGTTTCTGCGGATTTCAATTCGACTAAATTTAGAAACAGATTCTTTTACCTAGGATGAAAAAAGTTATTAAAGTTGTCGAACTAATAATAAAGGCTTCGATAAAAGCATCTAAAACGACATCTACAACTAACAATACATACCAGGTTCTCAATGCTTTCCAACGGCGATAACGGCGTTGGTGGTGATGATGATGACAGTAATAACGGTGACGACGACGACGATGGTGTTGATGATGGTGATGGCAGCAATAACGATAACGATTTCGGTAATGGTGAATGGAAAGGGACTACGTGAAAGTGATAGCCATGGTTAAAATAGATTCAAGTAAATCGTAATGCTACGATAAAGCTCGAGGAGAAAATGCGAGAAATCTATATAGTAAAATTTTATTCAGTGGTCTTGATTATATCTCGTAGAAAAAATTTTGACACTGTTTTTATATTCTCTTGATGGAAGAGGAAATAAACAGTTTATATGCTTTTGTGTCGGAATTATTATTATTATCATATTTACTAATATTATTATTATCACTTTCACCATTAGTTGCTTGTATATCTGCTACGATGATAAGAGGTGTGTGCGCTCTGATTGGTCAAGTATTGCGTCATATCCAGCTATAATCGCCTCGAGCGACTCACGCAAGATGATTGTGGTATTTAACGAGGGCGAAAGTGATAAAATGGAATTTATAGGAGGTTGAAAAGATCAATATATTTACAATTTTGTCGCCGATTCTAGATACAGTACGAGTAATCAAAACAATTGCAACGGAAGGTTTTACACATCAAAACGAATGTGTACAACAAAATTTGAAAGTATCTTAGTCATTACACGTTAAAACAATTATTCAGCTGAGGCTCAATGAATATTATTGAAGAATCTCCTCTCTTACGTCTCGGGGATTATTCAACAAATTGATTACTATAATCCTCCTAATCATCATCGTCATCATCATTATTGTTATCATTGCTATTATTATTATAATTGTTATTATTATCATTATCATCATCATCATTATTATTACTATTTATATTATTACTATTATTATAATCGTTATCATTATTATATTTGTCATCATCTTTTGTTCGGTGGCACTCACTACGAACATGGAAGTTTTATTTACCTTGTAAAGTTGGAATTTGAGTTGTGATAGCTTGGACTCTTGTGACCGTGGCAGTTTTAACGACATTAGAAGTGTATAAAGCTGATGTGATACAGTCAGTACTGAACCATTTGGAGGCCTTGCATTGATCACCTCTGTCACACTTGAAATGAAAGTTTCTCATGCTGCATTGCATCCTAACGTGTTGATAACATGAACCATTCCCACCTTGGCAGATCTGCTTGGTTAATCTATTCCTGAACCCATTCCTTGTCATGCTACATGTCTGAGCACGACATGTCTGTTCACAAGTATTCCCGTTGCATTGCATATTGCATTTATCTAACTGCCCGTTGCAACGCTGGATACAGTTTTCACCGCTGCATTGTATATTGCAATCCTCCTTCTCATTGCTATCCTGATCACACTCTTCCCTGCTGACTGTCATATTGCTACTTTTTACCTGCCCTTTGCAACGCTGAACACCGTTTATCCCGCTACATGTTAGATTGCATTCTTTAGCATGCCCTTTGCAACGCTGATCACACCTTGTCCCGCTGCAACGCAAAATGCAATAATCTCCTCCGTTACAATGCTGTTTACACTTTTCTCTCCCACTGCAACTCATATTGCATCCTTTCACTTGCCCTGTGCAGCGCTGAGTACAATTTTTCCCACTGCAATGCATATTGCAGCCTTCTTTCTTGTTGCAATACTGATCACACTCTTCCCCACTGCATGTCATATTGCATCCTCTTCCTTGAACGTTGCAACGCTGAGTACACTTTTTCCCGGAACACTGCATATTGCAATATTCTTTCCCGCTGCATTTCTGATCACATTCTTCCTCACTGCATGTCATATTGCATCCTCGTCCTTGCCCGTTGCACCGCTGAGTACACTTTTTCCCGGAACACTCCATATTGCTATATTCTTTCCCGCTGCATTGCTGATCACACTCTCCCCCATTGCATACGACTTTACGTACCAGGCTGCAATTATAATTACCACGTTTGCAAATATGCATATGCTTGTTTGAATCGTCATTCGTTGCGCAGTCTATTGTACACGTGTCGTTACTTTCGCTGCATTCATGATGACTCAACCCAAAGCCTGACAAATATTTATGATAGTGAAAGTGAGAAAAGTGACATACTGATTTCCCTGAGCCAATCCCTAGCGATCACAGCTGTTAGATAAATTCTACTTCGAATACGCCCTAACACTTCCAGCACATAACAATGCAGAAATATCTAGTTCATGCCATACTTCATCCTTTTTAAACGACAAACATCTAGGCATGTGATCAATGAATTTACAGCTTACATCAATCCGGTTTCTTCATCATCTAACGTTGCGTAATTGACTTTCAACAAAGATGGGATTATTTCATCCCTTTTTGTCTAAGCTTTCCTTAGACAAGTGGCTCTTATTCGTAACTATGTTATGGGTCAAACATGTTGCTTTGTTTCGTGTATTATCGTCATGCATTAAGGTATACGCCCCTTATAGAGCTTATACACATATAAGTGCCCCGATCAGTTCAGTCAGTGAGGTTTACCTAAAGCCTTTTTCAGCTTAGTTTTTGAGAAAATGAACTAAGCATGACTGTTTTGAGTTAAAACCTGGCTTTGGAGAACGGTGTCGACCTCTCGATTGTCGTTTAATAAACTTATGAAAGTGTATATGTTAACACTTCGATCGAAAGTGGACGGGAAAGTAAGCGAATCCGTATTTTTTAATTTAAAGTTGGCTCCAGAACGTTTTTCTAAACAGCTAATGGTTCGGCAATATTTCCGTTTACGTGGCGAGCGGAGAGCTAATAATTCGTATCACCCTTCCATTTACCCTTTCCAGAATTATCCTCACTTTGAATTCAAACATCGGGTTAGAATTACACCTTCTCAATTATATCCTTTGCGGGAGAGCTTCACATCAACACGATATATCTTAATTTAACTAGGCTTTAAGTCTATGGCTCAGGAATGGTTTGAGGCTCTTGTTTCCCAAGGAACCCCCCACGAAATGGTTGTCTTGTTTTGCGGAAGGACACTGGTCTGTCTAGCTGTAAAACATAACAAACTAGTCTAAAAACTCTTTAGCCTCTATCAGTTTCCGATTCTTCTTTCCTTCCGCATCATTGCTATTTGGAGGACCACAGGTTCGAGTCGTGTCTCGAAATATACTACTCTTTGCTACTTATATTACACAGAATCGCGTCTTTAAAAGAGCATTGATACTCACTCGGTAAAGATAATAATAGCAGTGTGGAAGCCCATATCTGAGAACTTTTTGTCATCATCTTCTTTGTCAGTTACGTCTTTGTCAGTATCACGTTCGTAGAAAAAAGAATATTTTTTCCAATTTGTACATGCTGTTGATCAGAGCAATATTTTCTTCTCAGAAATATTTCAGCTTGCGTTTTTCTGTGCCAGAGAGAGCCGTTAATTGAAAGTATATTATGCAAATTATTGACGTCGATCCGCTCTTTCTGCTGAAATTTAGTCGCGGTTCGGTTTCGAACCTGTTTCACACTCTAGTGAAACAAATTTGACAGGTACAAAATTACCATTTTTTAGAAACTGTTTCATTCAAATTATCACAACTCTTTCAATAGGCTAGCATGACATTAACAATAACAGGGCGAAAAACATTGTATTTATGTTAATAACATAGCCTTAGGCTAGGACTTTAACTTGGCGGCAATGGTAAGTATTCGTTTTAATCTTACTATCGATTATTGTCCGTTGAGAGTCCTTGTTGATTAAACCTGTCAACAGCCTTTAGAGTCTTTCTGAAGCGCTGGCACCACAAGGTTTTTCTCGAACCAAACACGCCACCCTTGAGATTAGTCTCCTTGCTAACTGGTGCAGAACGGTATAATACACTGCAGCTGTTTTTGCCACGCACCACAAAGTGTGACTGATAATACCCTCTTTCATGTGATAGCAAGCATTATAGTTTTATTAGGTGTCCACGTTTACAATTGACGGATTCATGTTTTGCATCCCTAGATACGAAAGCTCCCTGTCTTCGTTGAATGGACGCTAATCATTTAGTTAACAACGAAGTATTGTTAATTTTAGACTGCGTGGATATGATCTCGAGTCACCCAGAATACAGCAAACTGTATTGATTTTTGTGTGAGGCCAGATTGTGTCTAAACAATTCATCTATTAATGAATTGATAACATGCTCACGACGATAAAAACGAACAAACAAAATGAAAAAAAACAAGTGCAAATAAACAGCTTAAGCCGCTCTCTGTCGAAGTTATAATTATCGCCCAAAGAAGACTGCAGCACACAGACCAAAATATCACAATTTACATGGAAAGTGACTACATCATAAAACAAAACAAAAAAAAACCAACAAAAAAACAATTTTCGTCATTAATATTTGGAAGTGTATTCTTACGATAACTACCTGTAAGCTAATTGTAATAGTTTTCCCATTTGTTGTTTCCTCCAAAATTGACGGGTTAATAACTACATGTAGTAGCTGAAAGGCACTTTTTCATTTTCATTCCCCTATTTCACACGTACTACGTGCTCGCAAGGTTTCTCTAAGTGTTGGAGAAAATATTTTAGAAAAAAAGGGAATTAAATTAATTAAGACAATATTGGTGCAGTTTGACTATTTTTGCGAAAAGAAAACTCTTCGACACGAATACAAAAAGTTTCATTGATGTTTCTACTCCTGGTTTGACTGGTGTTAGGAGATTCTCTTGCTGGTATAGCGTAAATTTTCCTTCACAATGAATGTGACTGACATCTGTTCTTGGGCATTGAAAAGATTGATAAATCTTTGTTGGTAAAACTAAACCTCGTGCTGTAGGCATAGTTGTTCCAGACAGGTAGCTCATTCTCTTGGCGATTTTCAAAGGCGCACAAATCGAAACTTTGATTCTAAGATAAATTTGAAGAAAGGATTGTAAATTATACTCGCATTTTCTCACCACAAATCTGTACTTTGAAAAGGCAGCTCATTTCATTTATACATAATCAGAGCGCGTTTGACATCGAGACTTTGATATCATCGAGCTATACACTGAATGCAAACATAGCGTCCAATTTGAATTGCCATTGTTCTGGACTGACTAGCCTCGTCCTCACGTGGAAATACAAAAGGATTATTACAGGTGTGAGAGGCTAGTCAGTCCAGAACAATAGCAATTCAAATAGGACGCCATATTTCCATTCGGTGTATGGAGTTCTTTTTCCATGTTAGTAGTGTTACTGAATTCGAAATAACCAGATACCCACGACGTAGTTCGCATGAATTTCGAGAAGTCTTTTACCCCCATCCCTCGCACACAGTTGAATTAATTCTCAGAGAAACGCGCGAATCTAAATGTTTTGTCTGTTGCTATATACTCCAAATGGAACCGTCGACCACCGACCATCGATAATTACACAGAACTTTCCAGAGATCCATTAACCACCACGCTGGATAAAGAAGTCCATTACGTCTTCTTATCGTAATTTAAGCGTATCACTTTTAAACCCTAAATCTAATTCACTAAAAACCTTTTTTGTTTTGCTCCACGTCGTAATAACAAATGAACCCACGTCCCTATTGACAATTTGTAAAATAAAAATTAAGGAAAAAGACATTTTATTTAGTTTACTATTATTATTATTATTATTATTATTATTATTATTATTTTTATTATTATTATTATTATTATTATCACCATCATTGATACTCTGTTCTTATTCATTTTTTCATACATCTGTTTTTGGTTTGCTTAGAATCTCCTCTGTGGATTTACCCTCGCCAGCGTTTTCCATTACACAATTTCTCAGTCCTTGCCCCAGGGGGCATTAATTTCACTTTCAGACCCCTTAATCCAATCGGCTTCCTTTGACAGCTTAGAATCTTATTCAAATTCAGGCAGCGCATTAGTGGCGCAATTAGGTAATCGTTATTCACGATCGATTTGAAAGTTCCGCTTAACGAGAGTTGTTATTTCTTTTTGTGATTCATTTGCCACCCTGAGGACTTCGCGCATTTAAAAGACAATATTCTGCCCCTGGTCACAGAGCTCTTGCGCGTTTGCCGTAATGGGGCCACATTTTGAGAAATCCGTTTGTCTCGCGAGTGGAATATCTTTTTCCCTACTTGCGCTACTTATAACAGTTTTTAATGGTGTGACTGTGATTGCGTTGTATAGAGATCCCCTTCGTCGCTTCAGAAAAACGTTTTCCGTGTTTTTGATATTCATTGCTGCGATGGATCTGTTCGTTGGCATTGTTGTTAGCCCAGCAGAGGCTGTGATAAGGCTTCTCTGTGCATTTGGAGACAATTCTTCCCCCAAGGAAGGAGATGTTCCCAGAATATTGGGATACATTGGAGTTAACAGCTCAATTTTGCTTGCTACAGCCATGTCGGTCGATCGTTTATTTTCTGTTGTTTGTCCCCACTTCTATCTTCGTAAAGTCAGACCAAAAACCATCGCCTTCTGTAATGCAACCATTGTTGTTTTATCTTCCATTTTCGCCTCTCTTCAGCTTGCTGATGTGTCACTGGATGTTTACGTTTTAGTCGACATTCACCTACATACGACGTTTCCTCTTGTCACAACTATATTGGCCTACACTGGGATTTTTATAGCTTTGAAAAAGAGCCGCTCTCGTATTGATTTCCAAAGACATTCATCGGTCCCTGACAACCCAACACTTCGCGACCTACGAAGAGTAAAAAACACCCAAAAACAGCAGCGATATGCCACGACTTCGTTTTTCATCCTATTTTTTCTTATTATTTGTCTGGTTCCCTATTTCGTGGTCATTCTTATTGAAGCAGACTGTGACGGCTGCCACGAGCAGAAATGGTGGTTAATTTTAAAAGTAACTTCCGAGATATTTCTGTTCGTTAATTCAACAGTGAATCCTATTTTGACTACATTTAGACTTAATGAACTGAAGCAGTCAATTTTAGTCCTTTTTTTCAGAAGAGATAACATCAGTAATGTGGCAGATTTGGGAGATCAACATTTCCAAATATCGTCAGCAAATTAATTTAATGTCACACGGACAATTACAATACATGATTGCATTGAATTGGCGACTTTAAATTTAACTTGTACCTACAGCATCACAAAGCGGCAAAAAGTAAATCGTTGAGAGTGTTATAACTCAGAATATAGCATGCATTTATACTTGATATTCATATATTTAATGCTTATTGACTGTTGACGATATTGCACTCTTTTTTTCACTTATAAAATACATCTATAAGATTTCCAAATAAACAGCAAATGCATTTTTGCTATACGAATTTCCTATGTAGTTTCAATTTTTCTTTGCTTTGGTTGGCCTTATCGCTCCGTGCAGCTATTTCACAACCCTACAGCATAAGGTATATTGTTCTCAGATGCCGAGTAAAATGACAAAAAAATAGTGGTCATTGCTCGCATGCGGTCGACTAGACTCATTAGTATCAGGTGCTTATTGCCTAAAAAGGCCACTTTTCCTGAATTGTAACGAATCTTCCTGAAATTAATTCAATTCACGTACTTAAGTTCTAGCTCTGGTTCTAGCTAATGAAAACAAATCCGACAAGCTTTACTTTCAAAACGAGCCTTTTGAAATAAGGTGGCCGCGAACGTGCGTCAATATATTATGACAAAAAATGTACTACTTTCAGTAATACCGTCGGCCTTGCTGGCGGCCTAAAACCTTAAACAATTGAAAATCTTGGTGTCGTAAATAGTTTAGATGAGGGTTTAACTATTTTTCTATAAAAATCCTTTCTGTGTGTTGCATCAATCAATAAATGTGGCCGCTATTAACAGTGTCGATGACCCCATATGTACCTTAAATGAGTTACATTTATCACTTTCGCAAGCATCTCAGCGGTCTGGAATCCTAAATCCTCGAATCTGATTGGCTTAAGGTGATTCTCTTGTTTTGTACTGCGCAATGCGCACTTTTCTGCGCATAACATTGCGAAATCCAAGATGGCGGCCGTTCTTCCCGCTAGCGCGAGAAGAACAAACAATGGCCGCTTTTGCAGAGCGAAAGCTTTTATTCGCAATGATAATGCCGCAAATCGGCTGAAAGCTTCTTGTTCTACTCTGGTAAAACAAGAAAATGAAAAGAATGTGCGTGATCCGGAAGTCTGCAATGGATTTCCACTTCGCGGCCGTCGAGTTGTAGAATTAAATGTCCTCGCTAAGGCTTTGGATGGGGGCTGTGAAGCCTGTGGGGCAGCTCTACGGCTCTCTGACTGCATAAAAGAAACAGTGTCTGGAATAAGATCACTACTCTATATAAGCTGGTCAAACTCTGAGTGTGGAGACACAAATGTCTATCGAACAAACAAGACCCACCGTAGCACCGGAACAACACGAGGGAGACCAATCTTTGATGTAAATACGAAGCTCGCTGCAGGTTTGTTTACATTTAACGTTGCTAAAAATATTGTTTTCCACCATTAAAGCATCCATTTAACATCTAGTCAATTTTTTAATAAGTTGAATCGACATATTTATAGGGATGCTACACGCAGGCATAGGTCCTACCCAAGTAAACGAGTTGTTGTCATCCCATCAACATACCATCACTTGGAGAGTCCACGCTGAAGGCTCGTGAGAGGGAAGTAGGGCCCCAAATTGAAAAGTTGGCGAAGGAATCGTGTCTGGTAAGTTTAGAAAGCGAAAGAAACCTGTGGAAAGACGATAGTGAACAGGAAAATGTGGAGATTGGAGCGTCATTATAACACGGGATGGCAAAAAAGGGGAAAAGCCCACAACAGCCTGACAGGTACACTGTAAATTCTACATCTGAAAGAATTGAAAAGGGCGCATTTGGATATGCATTTTCATAGAAAGCTGATATTTTTTTCGCTGGATTGTTCTTTCACTTACTGACAGTTCTGGTGTCAGCCAATAGTCAAAGTTAAATAAATAATAAATAAATAATAAATAAATAAATAAAATATATCCTTACTTTCACTACTAGGGGTTGGCTCCATGGTTGGCCTAAAAACTGGCAAGGTGATTTGCTATGGTTCAAGGTCAAAAAGGTAATGTATATACATATATTTTGTCTATTAGCACCTTGTTGAAAACAACAAGAGCAATAAATTATATATATTTTTTCAATTTGACCAAAAAAGTACAGAATCATTCAACACATGGCAGCACCCATACTTGCCTCCTCTTGAAAGTGTTACCCAGGACCTTTACTCATAATGTCTTTTGTAAAGGTGAGCAACATATGAAACTGCCAGCAGACAGTTGAAAAAGCCTCGCATACACAACTGCAGGTTCAACTGGGAAGGCTCAACAAAAGCTATGGAAGCTGATGTTTGTGTTAATCTAGTCAAAATGTAATTACTAACCAGGTATGTAACAATAAAAATAAAAAATAAAATAACAATTATAATAATAGTTGTTCACATAGTAAATTCACAGTTTTATTGCTACAAAGAGAGACTTGTGGAATCTGTTCTTGTGATATCAGTGCTACAGTAATGGCAATTGAACCATGAACAGTGGAAAGTCTTACGTCATTACCTTACACCCTTGATAATAATTTTGACAAGAAAGCAAACATAAAAATGCACCTTTATTTTTGAATATGAGTATGTTGAAAATGCAGAAAAAAAAACACTTTAAGATAATGCCTAGGTGAAGTTTGAATGTCCTCACTTTTTATGGCATACAAATTTATTTTTGTGGTTTTACTCTGCTTAACAATTGTGGAGAAAAAATGCAGTTGTACCGGTTCTTGTTGGGGGTGATGATTCGTCTACCATAAGAAAAGTGAGGAAAAATGTTGAGCACAAGGTTGAAAAAAATTAATGGTCAGACGTAGTCCATGCTAAAAGACCCTTGGGTAGCTCATTATACAGCATCAAGACCCAAAACAAAAGCCTGACAGACATGATGATACAGTACTTCCAGCGATGCTTTGGTTACGCACTAAAGCAGAATAAGGATGGTGAAGAAGGTGTGCAAAATGGTCTGAAGTCTATTGTGCCCCATGCTTATGGTGACCATTCTTCCTGTGGCAACTGGTGTGGCTTCTTAAAAAATCCTGCATCCTACAAACACAGAGGCCTTCCCCGTGGCAAGGATCTGACGGACAAAAGCTTGAGGCAGTCCCTGGAAAAGATCGTAGAAGTAAGTAGAGTGTTAATGTATGGTGGCACAGCTCGCTCCCAACAAATTCCCAATTCCCACCATTTTACAGGTAGTAGAGGAACACAACTCTTAGAAAATAGTGTTAGTGCTTATGATTGTATTCTAATTAATAACTGGAAGGAATAAAGTATAAGTGTTCGGGGACTATCAAACTCTTTCTCAGTTTCACAAGCTTTATGAGATACCAAATTTTAGCAAATAACAACCATTTGCTTCTTCAATTTAGGTTTATGCTTAAGAAGCTAGCTCCCCTTGGGTCAAGCCAGGCAAATGAAGCACTCAACAACACTATAGGAAGCAAAGCTCCAAGATCAGACACTACGGTTCTTTCAAAAGCAATGACTTCTGTGTTGCATGTGCTGTTGGCTAAAAGATCTTAGGCCATTCTTATGTTTCTCAGGTGAGCACATATAATATCATGAGCATTTTGTACACTTCCCAATTTGTGAGATCCATTGAACATTACACATTATCCAATGTGTCCAGTGTTGTACTAACAGTACCTATTGCATGTCATAAGTCACAAAAAAAACAAAACAAATAAAACATCACTGTATTATATTTAACTTAGAATATGGTTTTCACTAAGACTGGTGAATTTCTCTTAGGCTTTAATGAAGACACAACTATCTCCAGGTTCTAACTCTTTAAAGCTTGCGAAAAACTGGAAAAGAGATTCTAAGTTTGAAAGAGAAACAGAAAACAAGAGAGTACAAGAAGAAAAGAATTGAGAAGAAAGAGAAGCGGTTGAAAAAGACAACACAGCTTGAGAACAGAGAAGGACAACAGTATAGTTCTGGAATGGGCTTTGAGGGACATGATGACGCTCAGAAAATTCCAGCACCACCTGCAGCCTCAAAGATTGAGAGAGTTTCGTTAACCAAAGACTATAATCAAATCATATTTGAGTTGGAAACATCTGGAAGGGGTAGTTAGCTTTGCAGGGTGGAGTTTAGCAAAAAAGTAACAAACTAAATATAACCATGTTTGTCTTAGCAGGGTATTTCTGAATTGCACATTAGAGAATCAAATTTAATCACCGAATTGTTTTTCTATTTTGCTAGATTGCTGAATACTCATCGTGCTAATTTGCATCACATAGATTCCTTTGTCTTATCATGCCTTGTTCTTAAAGAAAATATGTGAGATGCAAATTAGCAGGACAGTTATTCACAAACTACAACCTTCTATTTTTACTTTAGGTATTCCCCGCATAGATGCACTCAGCTTTTTTAATTACATTTTTTTTGTAATATCTTTGTAAAGTAACAATTGGATTACAATATCTTAAAACAGGTAATGATGCTGAAATCCTACAAATTGCAGCAACAGATGGTAAAGATGAGTTCTCTATTTATATCAAGCCTTGTAATGTAATATCACCAGAAGCATCTGCTGTGAACAAACTCACCTTCCAAAGAGGAATACTGTTTAATGATGGGAAGCCAATCACTGATGCTGTTGCAATTAATGTGGCCCTGAAGACCTTCATTGAGTGGCTCAAATCAAGAACTTGCATTTTAGTCGCACACAATTGCGAATCCTTTGATGCCAGGTTCTTGGTGCAAGCAGCAGAGAAAAATGGAGTCATGGAGGACTTAGTTGAAACAGTTTCTGGCTTTACAGACTCTCTTTCAGCATTCATGGAATTGCTTCTTGTAAGGAAATCCCATAGGCAAGTAAACCTAGTACAAGATCTTCTGTATAAATCCTATGAAGTTCACAATGCTCTTGCAGATGTGCAAACACTCTTCCAGCTGGTGAACAAATTTGTAAATGTCAAACTGCTACAATGTAGTAGTCAGAATGAGCTTCAAAGTTTCATGGGTGGCATCCTATCAGAAGCTCCTAAAGGAAAAGAAACTTCTG